GCCGGACTGGTTACCGACCCAAATAAATTTCACCAAAAGTAGTAGTAGCCCTAACCACCCACGCCTCGTGTTTCTCTCGAGACGTAAGAATATATATTATGAAAACTTTAAGTTTTCCCCAAATCATTATTGTCACATTTTCTCAAAATATCCTTTGTAATAAATATAAATCTACCAATATTCTTTAATAAAAAGAATATACATTTAATCATCCATAAAAGGTAATAATCCACCAATATTCATATAGTCAAAATATTCGATCCATGTCAAACATATAATTTCCAATTCATAAATAATTCACATAGTGCAAATATTGCATACATATAAGTACGAGGCAAAACATTTTGGTTGTCATAGAACTTACCTTAAATTGCGATAATCCTCTTAATAAAATCTCTAGCTTGGTCTTCACTTGAATCCTCCTAATATATATCAAAATTCTAAATCAATAACTACTCTATTATTTTTGTTATCTCCTATCTATCCAACCTTTAATTATTTTAATTTCATAATTCCTTCTTTAAATATAACTATTAAGTTAGATTCATAAACCTTATTTAAAATGTTAATTTCTAGTCCAACCTTATTTTCTTTAATCATACTAATCCCTCCATAATTTACTTTAATTTATTTGATTAATTAGTTAACTAGTCTAATTATATTAACTGCATAATAATTTCATCATTTCAAATTTCAATAATCAATTTTCAGTTCAAAATTCAGTTTACATAATTTATATAACTTATTTAATAAACCTTTTAATAATAATTTGACGTAAGCAATAATTCGAAATAATAATCATTAATGATAATCTAATATCAATAACAACTTTAATTAGTTCAATAGTTTATTTATACTAACTAACCCAATTAAATTAATTAATCCAATCCTCCAGTTTTATTTATTTGATTCACTAATTTAATTGAACTAACTAAATCAAATAAAGAAGTTTAATTATATCAATATAGCTAAGTTTTATAATTTAGATTAAGGCCAATACTCAAATTATAATCTCGTTTTAATTTTCTATTTTTAATATAAAGTCCAAAAATATTACCACGTCCATAATTTAACTAATTTATCCATTAAACTGATTGATTTAGTTAAACTAGTCCAATGAAGTCAATTAACTAAATTATTAAGTACACCTTACTTAATTAATTGGTTTATATTAATCAACTAATTTTTTATGAGTTCAAATAGTTTAATAATTTATATGGATTCCAAATCACTAATAATAAAGGATAATAATTATTAATTTAATCACACTAATTTAATTAGTCCACTAATTCAATCATTTATTTATTAAGTCCAAATATAGTCATTCATTTATACTAGATAATCCAAATTTATTTTCTTTTCCTTATTTTATTACAAACATCATTTTTAGTCCAGAACATTATTTTCACTCTTAGTGATTTATTATTTATTTCACCATTAATATCAAAATTTTCTTATTTAATTACTTAACTAGTTTTATATGGCCCAATTAAATTAAATAGCTTAAGAATCGACTTTATAAATTTGTTACCGCCCATAACTATATTTTGGGTCTATATTTGACCTAGGTTGTCCATATATTTATTTTAGAATTATTTCCCTTATTTATTCACTTAATTTCATATATCTATTAACCTATTTAATTACAATTAAATATGCTAATCATAATTTTTATTAATTATAAATGGTCCCAAATGTCCTAGTTAGTCATATATTTAATCTAGCTTGCTCCAATATTTATTTCATAATTTATTTCGTCATTTAGTTAATTATTTACTAAATATGTACAAATTGGCCCAATTACAATTAAATCAATTACAATTACTAAATATTTTTTTTCAATTATTATTGGTCCGAATATGTATTTTTATACCAGGTATTTAATTTATATTTTTCCAGATTTTATTTATTTCATTTACTATTTTATTTTTAATTTTTATTGAAAATGGGCCGAACCGGCCCAAATACGCGACCCGGCCCAAGAAGACTGGGTTGTCTCCTTCCCAGCTCTTCTCCAGGTCGCGATTCCGGCGACCGGAATCCCGAAAACTCCGGCGAGCGAAAACTTTACTTACAGGTAACGGATTTCGACGATTCAAGTTGCAAAATGATCCTCACGTCGAGGAGAAGCTCCGCCACCCCTATCTAGGGCAAAATCGTGTCTTTTCTGAAGACCCGTTTCCACGGCTTGCAACTCCGGCGATCTCTAGGATGCTCTGGTGACTACAAATCGGTCTGGAATTTATTGTGAAGTATTTCTAGACCTCTCACGACCCTCCTCTCTTGCTTATAGGCAATTTCTTACGTATATGTGTGTGTGTGTGTGTGTGTGTGTGTGTGTGTGTGTGTGTGTGTGTGTGTGTGTGTGTGTGTGTGTGTGTGTGTGTGTGTGTGTGTGTGTGTGTGTGTGTGTGTGTGTGTGTGTGTGTGTGTGTGTGTGTGTGTGTGTGTGTGTGTGTGTGTGTGTGTGTGTGTGTGTGTGTGTGTGTGTGTGTGTGTGTGTGTGTGTGTGTGTGTGTGTGTGTGTGTGTGTGTGTGTGTGTGTGTGTGTGTGTGTGTGTGTGTGTGTGTGTGTGTGTGTGTGTGTGTGTGTGTGTGTGTGTGTGTGTGTGTGTGTGTGTGTGTGTGTGTGTGTGTGTGTGTGTGTGTGTGTGTGTGTGTGTGTGTGTGTGTGTGTGTGTGTGTGTGTGTGTGTGTGTGTGTGTGTGTGTGTGTGTGTGTGTGTGTGTGTGTGTGTGTGTGTGTGTGTGTGTGTGTGTGTGTGTGTGTGTGTGTGTGTGTGTGTGTGTGTGTGTGTGTGTGTGTGTGTGTGTGTGTGTGTGTGTGTGTGTGTGTGTGTGTGTGTGTGTGTGTGTGTGTGTTTCCGGCGAGATTATGTATGTGTGTGTGTGTGTAGCTTCTATCTCTCCGATTTGCAGTGTTTGGGGATGGCTAAGATGGTGTATTTATAGGTCTAGATGGTCCTTTTATTTTATTTCTTTGATAATTGTATGAATAATAATAATAATAATAATAATAATAATAATAATAATAATAATAATAATAATAATAATAATAATAATAATAATAATAATAATAATAATAATAATAATAATAATAATAATAATAATAATAATAATAATAATAATAATAATAATAATAATAATAATAATAATAATAATAATAATAATAATAATAATAATAATAATAATAATAATAATAATAATAATAATAATAATAATAATAATAATAATAATAATAATAATAATAATAATAATAATAATAATAATAATAATAATAATAATAATAATAATAATAATAATAATAATGTCTATACATAATGATAGGTTTGGTAGTTGATGAACATGGCATGTGTATTGATTCCTGATTTGATTCCCATTTATATTGATGTTTCATTTTTTTAATTACTTAAATGTATTTTGAGTTTTACATATAAATATATATGTGTAAATATATGTACATAATGTATATACATGATTTGGTAGGTGATCTTAGCATGTGAGATTGTTTTATGATCTCATATTTTCATTTATCCTTTTGATACTTTTATTAGTAATTTATAATATTCTTACTATTATTTTTATTTATTTACTTATTTATTCTGTCACCTATATTTTATCTGATTCGCTTAATTATTAAACTGTCAATTTCGTAACATTTTATCTGACTAATAAATTATTTATTTTATTTTAATTTCGGGGTATCACAGGCCTGACCCAGGATCGACTCCTGTATTGTTTCAAATTGGACCAAGTTCGGTAAATCCGGTTTGGATTGGGAACCGCCAAGTCGCCCAGTCCATCAAAGCATGTTACCCAGTCACGGTTCACCCATTTGGGAACCATTTCTCTCAATTTCAGTCCTGAACCCGCTAATTTGTTTTTGGCTTGAATATGGGAGAAAATGAAGAGAAAAAATAGAACCGAAATCAAAAAGCTTGGGTACCGAGAACCATACCAGACCCAGATTTAACAGGGTCAGGCACACGCTTGTCCTACCAACGATCCGGATCAATAGGTTTAGGACTAGGACCGGGTCCATCCCCACATGCATTTATGATTTTTATTGACGTATCCATTGTTCTCTATAGGCGCATGTGCGCAACAACAATGAAAATGCATTATAACGTTTTAGTATATTTTTGAAAGAACCATAAAAGAAAGTTATATTAATATATATTTTCTTAAATAAATGCAACCGTCAACATTTCACACTTGTCGAGACACAACTTTGACCATTAATATATATGATTTTGTATTAGTAAAAAAATTAAAAAATTAGATTATGAAAATTTACAATGAGACAAGTTTAACAATATTTTTTTCACAAAAAAAATAATATTACATTAATAAATAAAACGTAGTCACAGTAGAACATGTGAATAGTGTAAAAGTCAAAGTGTTGCATTTATTTAAGAACGGAGGTAGTATTTAATAAAAGGAAAATGATAAAAAAGGGTTTAAATCCACCAAAACCCCCTGTGATTTGGAAATTCGGCGCATTAGCCCCCTGTGATTTAAAAAATGCGTCAAACCCCCCTGTGTTTTAATTAATCATGCGCCAAATCCCTTATGTGAACAAATTCAATTGTCAAATAAAAGAAAAATGATTAACATTTTTGTATGATTCAGAGATTTTGACATATTTATTTACATATTCAATCAAAATATTAAGAAAAGTGATTTTCAAATCGTTAAATTTATTCATAAAGAGGGTTCTGTGCATGATTAATTAAAACACAAGGGGGTTTGACGCATTTTTTAAATCACATGGGGCTAAGGCGCCGAATTTCCAAATCCCAGGGAGTTTGGTGCATTAAACCCATTAAAAACAATGAAATCCATAAATGTTACCTTTAACCGATCGATCCAGTCAGAAAAATACTTAAAAGTTAAAACCCTACCATTTTCATTACTAAATAATTTTGCACGTGAAATAAAAAAATGGTGTTCGAAAATAAATACTCTTATATCATCAAAAATAATGAATATTCTTATCAAACCGGACATGTTTACATAGCCAAGCCCTGATGGATGCCTGAAAAGAATTCAATTCTCATTGCTGGAATGCTGGGTACATACATTATTATTTTTATTACAAAAAATTGCGCCAGGAAAATTCCGGAAAATAATAATTTAAAAATTAAAAAAGAAAAATCACAGGAACTTCAAATCCCTGCATTAACCAATTATGAGACAGTCAAGAGTTGGGTTAAAAATCATGAAGTTTGACTTGTGCGCTTTTCCCATGAACGAGAAGAAACTACAATCCAATATTTGTCTCTATCTTTTGGATCTGATTTAGGAATATCCATGTCATCTGCAGAAAGAAACAGCATTTATTAGGACAACAAGACAATGTATAATGGAATGAGTTTGTATCAGCTTTGAGCTTTTAGCCTTTTAACCCTTCAAATATTGTGTCATGTATATTTTCAATATTCACCTTTGAACTTTTTCTCTTTTACCCTTCTGATATTGTAAAAAGTATGAATTTTGTCATTCTAGTCATCTACTTAGAAGCTGTTCTCTTCGCCTGATCTGAATGTTTCTGATCTGAATTTTTTAAGTTCTGATCTGATCTGATCTGAATTTTTCTGATCTGATCTGATCTGAATCTTTCTGATCTGATCTGATCTGATCTGAATCTTTCTGATCTGATCTGAATCTTTCTGATCTGATCTGAATGTTTCTGATCTGGTCTGATCTGATCTGAATGTTTCTGATCTGATCTGAATCCTTCTGATCTGATCTGAATCTTTCTGATCTGATCTGATTCGAATATTTCTATGATTATAATTATAATTATAATTATAATTATTATTATAATTGCAATTACAAATATAATTTAAATAAAATTATAATTATAATTGTAATTATAATTACAATATTTATCTCTATAATTGTAACTATAGTTATCAATATTATTATAATTACTCCATAAAATAATTACAATGGTAATAATAATAATAATATTAATATTAATTATAATAAAAATAATAATTATAATCATAAATTATTATTATAATATAATTATAAGTATAATTATAATTATTATAATTATAATTAATAATAATTATAATTATATTAACATTAATTATAATATTATAATATAATAATAGTAATATAAATACAATTAATATTATTATAACGATATTATTATATTAATATTATTATTACAATAATATAATAATAATATGATTATTATTATAATTAGTATTATATTATTATAATATTATATTATATTTATAATTATAATCATAATTATAATTATGATTGTAATTATAATTATAATTAATTACAATTATAAATATATTTAATTATAGATATAATTATAATAATTACAATTGATTATACTTATAATTATAAGAATTATAATTGTAATTATAATTATAATTACATATAATTATAATAATATTAATCATATTATTATTATTATAATGTTGTCATAATAATAGTCTTCTTAACAATTGCATTTATATTACTATTATTATATTAAAAAATTATAACTATTATTAATATCTTTTTTTATCATATTATTATTAATATTATTAATAATAATTATATAATAATAATCATTATAGTAATAACAATAATAATAATAATAATAATAATAATAATAATAATAATAATAATAATAATAATAATAATAATAATAATAATAATTAATATTTAATATAATAATAAAAGTGAAAAATCATGTTTGAACTTTTCTGATCTGATCTGATCTGATCTGAATGTTTCTGATCTGATCTGAATGCTTCTGATCTGGTCTGATCTGATCTGAATGTTTCTGATCTGATCTGAATGCTTCTGATCTGATCTGATCTGATCTGAATCTTTCTGATCTGATCTGATCTGATCTGAATTTTTCTGATCTGATCTGATCTGATCTGAATTTTTCTGATCTGATCTGATCTGATCTGAATAAAATAAGAATAAGCAATAAGTAATAAGAATAAGACGAACAGAACAGCACCTTATTGTGGGAAAATCATTCTGGAAAGACTGCAAGTATGAAATTTTATAAACACAAGAGTAAAAATGAAAAGTTTCAAAGAAGGGTATCAAAAACCTCAGTCACACAAGGACTAAGATGAAAAAAGTTCAAACTCAAATACCAAGAGTGTCATTAACACAATAATCGGGGGATAAAAGGTAATGAGAACTCATATTGAATCATAAAACCCGCAGAGCATACCATGACATGGGGGGCAATTCTAACACAATACACTGGAAATCCGGTGTAAAATTTCAAAGGGCCTCCAGACTTCAAAGTTTTCATGGCACAATCGAAGGAACCAGTAAATGGATATTTTCCTTGATGGTCTGGTTGCATCTTCTGAATTTGTGTTTTCACATAATCGAATGGCAAACTGCAGGCTGCAGCAAAGAACCCAGAAACACTACTGGCCCCTGGAACAACGATACAAAAAGAGAGACTTTAGTGTATGTTTTTGATAGAGCAACTTAGACTCCAAACAAGCTACGTAGTATTAGTTATCTTCAGTAAATAAAATAAACTCTTACGGAGTATTAAAAAAGGTCTCCCCCACATAGCATCTGGAAAATAAGCTACAAGTTTTTCTATATTTTACGATACTACTCATACTCTATTTAAATGTGCCGAATCCAAACTCTTTTGGGAGGCTTGGATGTTGCTGTTGTTGTTGGATAACATTCCATTTATCTATCTCTTTTTAATATTACCTCCGTCCCCAAACAACTTCTCATTTTCCTTATTTGGGTGTCAAAAAGTAAACTTCACATTTAAAAAAAAGTGACTTTTCAATACAAAATATCAAAACAACCCTACTTGTTACTTGATTTGACATAAAGTAAGGGTGTCATAGGAAAGTCAACTCTCACTTTAACTTTCCACTAAAATGTACCTAAGTCAAAGTGAGAAATTGTTTCCGGGATGGAGGGAGTATAAAATAAAATGTGATAACTTTTTATTACTTTTAAAACATATCATCTACGACAGAAAGACTTTTACGAACATATCTATCTAATACAGACTAACTTTCAATTTCTACCTGTTTATCAAATTAAACAAAAACTAGATATAACACTTGCAAACAGATATCCGATGGATGGATTTATATATAAATATATAGTGAGAGGAACAAATAGCATGTGGAATATAAAAATAGATATTAGATGCATATGCCCTCTATGCACCAACAATCAATGGTTCTTTTTCATGCACTTCGGGGATAAGAAAGAAACAGCACAATGTCATGAAATTTACGTGTATCTCACCTAGCACTGTGGCAGCCTCGCCCATACCAAGTGTATCTTGAAAGAACTCAACACTTTGATCATAAGAGGCAAGCATTCCCATGTTAAGTGCCATTGCTCTAACCACGGTTGAGCCAGCACCTTTCCAGAGAGCTAAAACTCCTTCATCTGCAACAATACGATAAAGGGCGTGGAAGGCATTTTTGTAGTTACGCCGATGGGAAGCAGGTAAGGTGGCATCAGCCTGCATACGGATGAGGGCCAAATCAGCTGGACTGCCAACACATGCTCCAATCGCTCCAGCTGTCAGCCCACACAAAGCCTTCTGATACAATGGCAACGGCTTCCCGTCATTTTCTTGAACAGCTTTCTTTGTCAACATTCTAATTATGAGACAATCAGTCTCCAAATAAGTCAAAGTCCAATCTCATTAAATATTTATAGAAATTCTTCGACAGACAAATAAAAGCATATTTTCTATTTTATTATGCCATAAGAAAAATATGAGGCATTTTAAGAGAAACACTGATTGAAAGCATTTACTGGTACAAACAAAAATAAAGATAAAAAAAATTTCCAATAAAAAACAATCACAACCGACAAGCCTAACAAAGTAAAACATGTGAACAAATACTACATTTAGAATCCCTGATGACGTAAGTCTGTTTATGTAAAATAAAACAAAAACAGAAGGTAGCTGCAGCTGGAAATCTGAATATGGAATACAGACAAAATTGGCACATGGAAATTCTAAAGTGCAACTAATCACCAGAGGCCTTTCATTCAGAAAGGTTGCTTTGGTGCTTCTATTACTACTACCTTCCGCACCAAGACGATAAATGAAGGAGACTGACAAGTTAGAGAAAACAGCTTACTTTCCAGTTCTACATATTATGACCAAAGACAACATGTTCTTCAACAAATAAGATCCTATTTGGAAAATAAAAAGATAGACATTGACTTAGTGAATGTGCTTATTAAAAATATATATATGAATCTCACGTGAATGATCCAAGTCTGGCAGTTGTATATGTGGCTTGTCTAAGCAGCCCAGCAGACAAACCCTGCTCAATATGATAATATGCTTTAGAGATATGAAAAACATAAACATCAGCAATACAAGATAGCAGATAGGCCAACACGATCGCAACTTTTTTTCTAATAAAAGATGTTTCAACAGCACATTAACGTATATAATGAACATTCAAGAGAGAAATTAACATTAGTTTCTGAGAGAAATCCACGCCCAAAGTTCTTCAGATTCTGAACAGAGCAAAACTTTTTCCTATAAACGTAAAGCAATTTGAATGCCTTTCAGCTTTCACATTAAAGTGAAAAACTGGGAAAAAGTTACAATATTTACTGCAGCACTGAAAACTCTAAAAGAGTTCACAATTATGAAGATAAATGCAATAAGATGCATGGAATGTTTCAGCTGGCGGTAGCCATGCCAATCATGAATTCATTAACCTTTTACTTTCAAGCAGGGGAGAAAAATAAGGATATAAGAGAAGTAAATAGTAGAATAGATATATCAAACATCAGGGGAAGAGAAGAAAGAAAAGTAAAGGGCATTGTAGAAAGTCCAGAGGAGAACAAGGTACAAATGTACAGAAAGTAGAAGACAGTGTTAGAGAAGGCACTAGCGTATAGACAGGATAACCTTTTTTCTTAAAGTAGTAGTTCAATGGTGAATCAATATTTCATTTGATCTTCTTACTTCTATATCCATATGCCTAAGTAATGTTGTGCATACTTTTATGCTATTTTGTATTATTTTAATTAAAATAAACCGTATAGTTGGTTGGCTACAATTACAACACCTCCAAAGGGTGGGATTAAATACAGCTTAATTTAATTAACAAATACCCCATAGCAAACAAATACTGCTCATATTATTAATTAAATGCCTCAACAATAACAACATTCAAGCCTTACCCATAAAAGAGTTTGGGGTCGGCTACATACGACATGAATCGACATACGACAGAGTTAAAAATAATAAATAGAGAAAAAAGAAGACAAACAAAATCAGATCAATCCTACACAGCTCCACACAAATTGACTAAATGTCTATATTGTTAAAATACACAAATATGAGACCCAGGCTTAGTCCCAAAAGAGTTTGGGACTAATAAGTAATAAACCAATTGGGTCCAGTATTTAATATGGCTTCTTGTACAGTTGTACACTTTTCCCTTCACCATATCACCTATGGGTACATAGGAGTCTAGGACCTAGAGGCAAGCTCGGCAGCCACATATAGGGATTTTTACAGCATCTAGAGAAGATGCATACAAGGAAAAATAGGTAGAAGAGATCACCTATGGGTACATAAGACCTAGAGGGAAGCTCAGCAGGCAGCAGCCACATACGAGGGCTTTTGCAGCATTCGGAGAAGAAGACATACAGGAAAAAATAAGCAGAGGAGATCACTTCCTAGCCGTAAGTGTAGATTAACTTTTTTATGTCTGAGTGATCTTGTGAATCACATTTGTATATTTCATTTCTTAGCTGATCGCCCTACCAAATAAAAATTGGTAGGAGAGCTAACACAACTTTAAGGTGGACTTTCAAGTTCTAAATCAATACCATACATCCAGCCTATAAGATCATGAAAAATAGTAACTTAGGAAGTCTCCAAGACTCCAACTCTACTAAAAGATATTCTCCTTTTGTGAGTTGGTGATTCATTCATGCGTAGTATTATGCCAATAAGAAAAATGGCAGAAAAATGAAGAAAATGTAAGCTACTTAAAAAAGGAAGACAGTGGCCTTCATATTTAAGGCATCAGTTTCTGATGATTAAGGGAATGTCAATGATCAATGAAATACTCTGGTGCACAATGAATTAAATCATAAATTAAAGGATAAAACCTTGTAAAGAGCACCGAAGCCTTCATCTTTAAGCATATGTCTGGTCACTTGTGCGGCTGACCCCTGGCCCAACTGTATTCTTACCTGCAATCATCAAGAAAGAAAATTTATTTCAATTTAAGAAATCACCACTTTGACAGATGGAAAAAAAAAATGCATGAGGTATAACATAGCCCCATGAATGCAGATGGACTAAAGAGTGTGTTTCCCATACAAGTAAACTCTAAGTCAATGCAGTCCTAGATTAACTCAAAAATGAATGTGAAAAAGTGGTTGAACGTCTTCCGAATCTACCGGCCAAATTGTTATATGTTCAATCAGAACTTCCATTCCCAGAATATTAGGAAATTGATCTGTAGAAAGTAGTCAGGGGATGTAAAGGTGAAGCAGCAACAAAGACCTTAATCATGTCAATTGGCTGGATAACGCATGTGGCTAGCATACCAGAACAGCCTCCATTGATAAAAGGCTTGACTGAGGGCCAAAGTCCGGCTGTGAGATTGGGTTTCTGTTCTACCATTTTTGCTTCACATAACCGAGGAAGAGCGAAAGGGTTTAAACGTGCGGAGTTGTCAAGGGTTTGAAGGAAAGACACAGTTAATGCTCAATTGCTCACAAAAAGGCTTGAAGTGGGTTTCTTTTGATTTGCAGTCTCTTTGAAATTTATTTTTTGTTTTATGATAAATTTGAAATTTGTTTATTTAATGTAAATGGCTTATATATATATATATATTAATATAACCAGAATCAGATAAAATACATCACAACCATAAATCATAGATTCATAATTATTTTGAGTTAATCACACACACAAGATCAATATGTCTCGCTAATCCTTGTACAAGTTAAATTTGATAAAATTTTATGGGGTGAAATAAGTATTATCCGAGTCTAGTATGGTTATGTTTGATCTAATTTTAACTAGTATCTTTACCCGTGCCGTGCACAGGATAAAACAATTTTGTTTTAATTTTACTATATATATGTGCACCCTCACACCTCACATATATATGAGTAATTATAACTAACAGAAAGTCACTTAGTTAGTCGATTTTAACTAAAAGAGCCATTTTTATTAACTCTCTGTTGTGCCTAAATGAATTTCGTCTTCTCAACCATCTATATCTAAACAAAAAAAAATTGGTTAATGCCTATTTTTAATATCAAAATATATCAAGATTTATGTTAATATTTAATATATACACTAAATTTAAAAATATTTAATATATACACTAATTTAAAAAAAAACTTTTACTCTTTCATAGATCAAATCAAAAAATTGATTCCAATTGAAAATATCTTTAATTACAATGGTGAAAACAAATTTGAGGGTGAAAACAAATTTGAGATAACATTAACATAAATGTGTATTTAGCAAACATTAACACGTGAAGTCTTATTTTTTACCTACGTGAAAGATTTTATTTTTTAGCTTTATTTTACCATGTAGAATGTAAGAAAAGATTTTAACGGTGCCGCTTCTACTCCATGACATCTAAAAGGAATAGGTTACTAAAAAAAGATGTTGATATCTCGTTTTAAAATGACTTTTCTTTTAGTTTTAATATTGAAAAGTCACTTATTTAGTCAATTATAACATTGATTTATAATGAATATCCAAATTTATTGAGTATGTCTATTTTTTCACTAATTATCTAAACATGTTAGCATCCCAAACAAAAAAAGAAAATGTTCAATGCGTATTTCTTTTTGTTCATTAAATTAAAAAATGGCTAATTTTAGTTTTATCAATATTTTTGTTCAATGTTAAATTTCTTTTTGTTCATTAAATTTAAATTTTTATTTCCCGGATGATGAAAAATTGTCAATTTAGGACCTAGATGATTGAAAATTATCAATCTAAGACCTATGTTGTCATTTACCAAGTATTATTGATAGAGAAAATAAATTTACACACGTCAAAAACGAAAACAATATGAAAAAGTGAAATACAAAATGTCAAAAATAATACAGGTTTATTTGGGCAAACAGAGTACAAATAAAAAAGTTGAAGGTATATAGACTGAAAACATTGAGTCTAGATGCTATTTCAAATTTATGTTCACCTTTCTATTCAAGGATATTTTCATTGGGATGTCACAAAAGTATATATTTTGAAATCTTTTGTAAAGAAAGAGGTTGAGGGACTAATTGGTAAAAGTCTAAAACCGAGAAGGCCTAATATCTTCAATAAAATTGACTACACCTATTTTTAGATAAACAAATTACGAAAATATGTAGTTAGTTTTGAAAAAAACATTAAGTCACAGATGAAATTTAATGAACAAAAATAGGCATTGAACATTTTCTTTTTTTGTTTGGGATGCTAACATGTTTAGATAATTAGTGAAAAAATAGACATACTCAATAAATTTGGATATTCATTATAAATCAATGTTATAATTGACTAAATAAGTGACTTTTCAATATTAAAACTAAAAGAAAAGTCATTTTAAAACCAAAGTTTTTTTTGGTAAATTCGGGGTCGCAAACTTGTAGCTTCTACTTTTTCCTCACTTGCTTGTGTCCTTTATGCTTTCTGATTTTTAAGACAGCCTTAAAGCATGTTTGGCATACATAAGTCTCTGCTTTCTAGCTTTTGTACTGTTTAAAAAGTCTTTAAAAGTTTCTAGTTGTATGTTTGGCATGACAACTTTTAAGAGCTTTTCAAAAATTAAAAGATTTTTTTTAAATGCTACATGAAGTAGCATATGAGAAAAGCCCGTGACTTTTAGTATCAATTCGTCCTAATAGCTTGTATACCAAACATGATTAAATCAAACAGTCTGTTTTTTACCAAACAGCTACCACATTTTCCTTATAAGATCTTTTTAGTCATTAAAAGCTAACAGTTACTAAAAAGCTTACAAAAGTATCTTTTCAGCTAGTTATGTCAAACATACCCTTAATTGGGTCGTTTTGTTGACTCAATTTGAATTGTCGTTTTTAAATATATGCTTTAGAACTTAATATGCCTTTATTAACACTTTCAGTCAATAAATAAAATGTTCTCTGATTGCTGCATGAAATTACGCTATACAGTAATGAGATCTTAATTTTAAAGCTTGGATTTATTTCAAAAAAGTTTTTAGTCTAAAAACTTCCATTTTTCCTATGTTCAAAATTCTTTTTATTTTTACATATGCAATATTTGTGTCATATGAAAGCTAATAAAAAATCATGAATTTTGATATACTTCTTACAAAAATTGAATTACAAATGAAAAAGTTATATCAATTCAAAAAATAGTGAGAATTCTATAAGACAATTTGAGTAGAATTCCAATAGCTTACTTCTAAAGTAAGTAACTATAATAATTCTAATTAACGGCAATCCTAATCTAATTTACAAATCCTAAACTTACGAACTATAAGTAATTAATTAATTAAAATACTAATTTGGAAAGAGAATCTAGAAAATTCTAATAAATGTTTGCTTAGAAGATGACACGTGGCAAAACTTTCCATAATTATATCTTTCAAATGTATTATCTATAGATGTAGTATTTATTAATTGATTTAAAAAAAAAATATTAAAAGAAAAAAGAATAAATTATGTACAAAAACTAAGACTAATGTATTCAATTTTAAAAATACGACTTATTTAAAGAATAAAAACAACCTTACAATGTTTATTTAAGGAATTTAAAAAAGGGAAAATGGAAACTAATAATCCAACCTTTTAGCGGTCTTCTTACAATAATCCAACCTTTTGGTTATTCATGAATAATCCAACCTTTGCACCTCATCTTCATTCACTGGTCCTTGACCGGTTGATGACCTGCTATTCCAAGCTATTTTCTTATCTTTGCAAATCATTATACCATAAATCTCATCTTTCACAAAGATAATATTTTGCAAAGATAAGAAAATAACTTGGAATAGTAGGTCATTAACCGACCATGGACCAATGAATGAAGATGGGGTGCAAAGGTTGGATTATTCATGAATAATCAAAAGGTGGGATTATTGAAAGAAGACCGCTAAAAGGTTGGATTATTAGTTTCCATTTTCCCTTAAAAAAAACACAATCATACAATTTTTCCCAAAAGAATAAGATAGAAAGTGACATCCTCTCAAGGTTAGTGTCGAACCAAGAGCTGTATGCTTCAGTTGAGTGTGCATTGCAATAACAATGTGTAATGTATAAATAATTAAAATGTAATCCGCACTGTTTAGATTCTCTCTCAAACCATTTGTACACATTTCATATTTGTTTTTGTTTGTGACATAAAAAAAGTTATCACAAACGTGTGTACACAGCACACCAAGAAAAAAAATCTGGTTGAATATTTGAATTAAGTGAAAATAAATTGGGAAAACTGTCAAATAGTTCATCGAACTTTCATAAAAAGGTCAAATAAGTCCTTACATTGAAGGCTCTGTCCGGCCGTCGCGATTTGGGGCGGTTCTCAGTGGAATTTTTTGATGAATTTTTTTTACCATCTTATTCATCAAGTCTAGTTTACTCATACCAAATTTCAGCTAAAATTTTAATCGGGAACGCATTCAAATTAATTCTTGAAGATAACAGTGCAGTTAAACAATCTACTTTAGGGAAAGAGAAGCGTCTTTGTATATTTTAACTCATATCTCACTTCCACTTCTAAGCGAGTGTTTGCAACAACTTAAAAAAAACATTTCTCAGCTTTTGGCTTAAAAAAACACTTATTTACCAAACACTACCAATTTTTACTTTTTCTCGGCTTGCGTGTGAAAAGTGTTTTTCCCTTTTCTATTACACAAAAAGTACTTATTTTACCAAACACTAAAAACTTTTACTTTTCGAAATCATTTTTTTTCTCAAACACTATCAACTTTTACTACTAATCACTTTTTCCATAGACTAACCGCAACTCAGCCCGTCAATAAATTAAATTCTCCTTCAGTTTATACGTATTCACTCAGTCAATTTAGTTTTTTCTCTGCAACACAGCACCGTCAATATATCCACTAAGCACATTTTTTTTTTAATAATTAAATGCATAAATCTTTGGTTATTTTACTACACATAATGTATGTGTTAATTTTATTTTGACCAATAATTACTCCGTATTGTTTAAAAACTCAAACATTCCGATGTAAAAAAATAAAAAATGTGAATTTTTTTGCAAGTGTTAAAAATGCATACTTTAGTTCAATTTGAAATAAATTTAAAAATATTAATCGTTTTCTATATTTCTTTATTATTAATTTTTAATTTTATTTACTATAAACTTGTTTAATATTAAATTTAAATCAATTGGAACACATGTTTTAAAATTAAAATATCAACAATCAATAATCAATAAAATAAAATCCCAACACAACACCCAGGCTTTTCCGTCCGTGACCAATTTCCACGCGCAAGAGTCAGAGAAACCCACGCACAATCCTCCACCTTTCATTTCCCCTTTGCACATGTCAACTCCAGGCCCACTGCCGCACATGCCACTTCCGGCGCAGAGGCAATTGCCCTCCTATAGATGACCTGCACAAAAGCGGGTTCGGGCCGGGCTCGGGCCGGGCTTTTCATAAGTTTTCAGCCCATCGTGTGTGGGCGGGCCCGGCCCGGCTCGCAAAAACGGGCCTAACCTCATGTCCATACCCGCCCATAAGAGCGGGCCGGGTAGTCCACCGGGCCGCCAGGCCCGGGAAGACTTTAAATTTTTCAAAATTATATAATTTATTTAATACTTTATAAATAATATTACAATATTAATAAAATTGCTAATACGCTTATAATGTATATAGGCCTTTCATCACATACACAAAAAATATTTACACAAAAATAATAATAAGAAACTATATCTAAAATTTAAAATTCATGCACAAAGTATTATCGTTAAGGCGTTAAGTACAAAAATAGATATTATATTGGTTGAACTATTTGTTAAGAACTAAAAACTTAAATTTAAGCATAATAAACTATAAATATGTATACAGATAAATTAGTAAACATAAAAATATACATGTGTAGATGTAAATAAATACATAATTTAGTATATATAAAAATATATATGTATATATACTAAATGTAGCGGGCCGGGCTTATCGGCCCGAACGGGCCTACACCGTAACCCAAGCCCGCCCATATGTTGTTGCGGGCCGGGCCCGGGCCGGGCCGGTGGGTAAATATATATGCCCAAGCCCACTAATTCGTGCGGGCGGGCTGGGCGGGCCGGGCGGGCCGGCCCGATTTTGTACAGGTCTATTGGCTCCCCTCCGCTCCAGCAACTTCCTTTGAGAGTTGAGACCTTGGTATACTTTTTTTTCCTAGGGTTGCAGCATATTAACTATTAAGGAGTCAAAACATTAAATTTGGTGTATTAAGCAGAAGCAGTTGCAAACCCTCCCTAAATCAGTGTAGAAGTTTACACCCGTGGTTTGCATTTGAATCATTTGATCAAGCTGCAAACTTAATGGGAACCGAGCCTTGATCACGTACAGTTTTTGTCATTCAAGGACAAAACAAAATGTTCCCTCTCACAACTCACAAAGTCACAAATAATTGATATGCTTCTATGACTGCTACCAAATATGGGTACAATTTTGAATATCAAACGTATAGAACAATCTCATTAAGAACACTCGACTCGCTGCCTTTTTGCAGATAACTCATCAATTTTTAAATCAAAATTCCAGCCGGGGAAATCGGACTCTGAGAAGAGAGAAGTTGGTGCCGCTTTGTAGAATGCTAGTGGGACCTGTTTAACCCTCCTCCTGATCTGCAGCGTAAGGCGATTTATGTTGAATTACTTTAAAGCAATCTCAAAGGAATGATCTGCTTAACCGATTGATCTAGAATTAATATTAAACTGCAATGAGCATTTTGCAGGCAGAAAGAATGCTTACCTCATCACCGAAAATTGTTGAGTACGAAGCAGAACTGAAATCTTTTATTGCAATTTCAGTGGTTTTTGCTCGGACAGTCAAATCGTTTTCAAGGGATAAAACAAATCTGAAAGAGCGTCAGAGGAAAAAAAAAGAAGCTCAACCAAAGGGGGGGCATAAACTAGTTTATTATGAGTGTGCACTGTGCACATCATGTGTGTAAACATATAAATACCTTGAAACAGGAGGGCAATAGTGATGGCGAAGAGTATCAATTTCCCAGAGAGAACTCCCTGTTCCATTGGGTTTGACAGAAAAAGAATAACAATTAATTTCTACAAACACGTGCAGTAACTTTCCAAGGTGTAAGGAGGCAACTGCATACAGAAACGTAAACGCTTTGTGCAAAAATTGCAGACATGGTATTGAATGAAAAAACATGTGCGTGGATGATTAAAAAAAACTAGATAAAGGCAGCCATAGCTCCCCCAAAAGAAAAATAGATGTGCATGAAATCCTAAATAACCTAGTCACCTGGATATGGTCGGCCACTCACAGCTTACTTGTGCAGTGGTTCATTACTAACACTAAATACAATATACAGCACATATCCTGTTTTAGAATTACATAAAACTAGTACGGTACCCATGCACGGGATAAAACTTTTCTTATAATTTATCTAAGATGCTGCACAAATTAAGATTGATGTAAGACAAATATATTTCAAAAGAAATTGAAACACGTTCATGATAGGATGAAAGGATATGTACTGTATATAAATTGTTATAGTAAGTGCATATATATGGTTTGACACTCACAGCTTACTTGTGCAGTGGTTCATTACCAACACTAAATACAATACGGAGCATATATCCTGTTTTAGAATTACATAAACAATACATAAAAAACAGGGGGGGGGGTGAAGTTGGAAGCTTACTCATGGCATTAGCCTTCAAAGGATCCGTCTCTTCCTCATCAAAATGATCAATGCCCAGTCCACTAACAGGAGTCTCTCTCTCTTCTCCTGAATGTTCTTCAGCCGTCTGATTAACATCATCCTGCAAAAGCATATTGGAAATTGGAACCTTGTTAACTTCAGCTTCACGGTTACATGGGGAGTGTTTACTATTGCTTCTACTGTAAAAAAGTGATTTAAGAGAAAGTGATTAATAGTACAGTTGGTAGTGTTTGACAAAAAAGAGCTTTTGAAAAAATAAAAGTTGGCAGTGTTTGGGAAAATATTGCTTTTTTGTGAAATAGAAAAAATGAAGAGTAACTGATATCATGGTTCGATTCATGTTAGCCGAACCCAATATCTTTTGGGATTAAGGCTTGGATGTTGTTGAGAAAAATGAAGAGTAGTTTAAAGCACCGCTCCACATGCTTCCAACTTTTAACTTTTAAGTGCTTATTTTAAGCAAAAACTATCAACTCAAAATACCTATTTCAGCTTTTTTTAAGCTAAAAGCTGAAATCGCTTTTTTAAAGTTTTTGCAAACACTGCCATAATTATTCCAAGGAAATAAGATACAAGCAACACCACAAAATGAAAGAGGATGTTGATACCTGATGAACTAAGCAGTTTATTGATGGGTGCCGCCTTAAAAGATTGTGGATTAAAGCAGTTATAACAAGAGCTCCCGAGGGTGGAACTGAAAGAGAAAGCCTGCTTAACTTTTTGCAGAAAGCAGCAGCCAAATATGCAGGAAGAAGTGGCGATTTCAGGCAAGAATCTAGAAGCTGCAAGTTAAATTCTCAAGTCAAAATTCAAACATGTAGCTTTCACTTTCTATAGGAACCTTCACTACATATGATGATTCAAAATTATATACATACAAAACTCAGAAAAATAATTTCACCTTTCTATACAAATCGATAAAATATGGGAAAACTACTTTAGATAAAAACCAAATTGTATTCAGATTTCAGATTTAACCTTTTTAGAAAAAATACTGCTTAAGCTATAAAAACAATTGTCATGCCCAAGTTCAAAACCACCAGTTGACATCACACAAAGACACCCAATAAAGATGGGAAAACTAAAAAAATCCTATAACCTGAAAAAACTTCGCCCGATGTTTCGCCATAAAGACAGAGGGATCTAGAAGCGCATAGAGCTTATCATAGAATTTTGGATACTCTATACCGTGTTGTGTCATGAGAATAAACAAGCTGCTAAGAGCCATAACACTGATAACCCCACCAATATCATATGATCGAGTCAAGAAATCACTGCATGTTTAAAGGCAAGGTAGAGAGTATCTGTCATTTTGTGATTTCCACCAACATGGAAATGATAAAAAAAAATCAATTATGACATTTGTATGTTGATTACCATAACATAGTAGGGTTCGACAGGTAAGGGATGACGGCCTGATGAAGGCTAACTAAAACCTGGTTGCAAAAAATCACAAATGTTAAAATATCAACAGAATGTCTTTAGTCAACTGATCATATAGTAGCATGCAAGATCATGATTGCAAGACCATATAACTAATAAAGAGTAACAGCTGTCAGCTTTACCTCTTTATATACATCAAGTGGAAGCGGTAATTTTAGAAATGATATCCATGCTTTTGTGAATTTCTGCTTCAACTTTTTTGCAGCTTTCACAGGAGACAAAATCTGAAGGCAGGTAATACTTTACACCTTATATATTAAAAAAAACTAAACACCAAACAGATTGGTTAACTGGGGAAAGAATCCTAACAAGAACTGTACCGTATCACAAGAACTATTTGCTTTACCCGGCAAATTTTCTGCTTTCAACTCAAGATCACTTCCCTTGTTATTGTTTTTCACAATAAAAGTACCTAACAAGCAACAAATACAAATAGCCAAAAAGAACCACATGAGTTGCACTGGAAGAAGATTGATAAAATTACTTTGCACAATTAGTTCTTCAAATATTATTGATAAAATTACCTAGACCATTCCACATTTCGTTTTCTGATAATTCATCAAGATTATTGGATGACGGGATATGTGACATCATATAATATAACTTCTGAATTGAGAGTTCCATGCTGATAAACATAACATGGGAATAAGTTGAACTTGGAGTCATATGATAACGTAGTTAGGCATTGCACAAAATGAGAATTGAATCAAAGTATATACTGTTCACACGAGTCAATGAGACTATGAAATTATGTGAAAAAGAAGAGCCTGTTCATCTTCTCAAATATTCCCTCAATAATAAGTTATAACATCATCATCATCATCATCATCAATTATAAGTTATAATAACATGCAATTAAAAAACGGGGGAAAGGTGTGAATCGGGTGGATAAAAAAAACTAGAATAGCAGCTCCAAAGACCAAATTGCTGGAGTACTGCATCAACGAGATTACATGCTAAAGGACTTGATGACTGACTATTCATGTATACATGCAAAATAGCATATCTAAATAATCATGTTATCCTACACATATGAATATATGAGTGTAGAAAAAAAAATCAGTGAAACCCGCTTATGAGTTATGTCCATCAAATCAATTTTAATACTCTCGCTGTCCCATAATTGTCTTCATACTTTCTATTTTGATCCATCCCAAAATAATCTTCACTTTCTTTTTACGGCAAAGAATTTGTGGTTCATATCATTTCCCTATCCTCTGCACAACTATCCACACACAATTCCACTTTCTTAACTCTTAAGCTACGTGCAAAATCTATTTGGAAGGTTCATGTGGGACAGAGGGAGTATAAGACTTGCCTGTTAATGAAAGTTGATACACTCTATAAAGAGGTTTTCCTACTTTATACTCCATTTGCAACACTTCCATTTTCACGTTTGACAATGCACAACTTTGACCAATAATATATTTAAGGAGAAAATAATTTAAATATCCCAAACTTTGAAGGGGTGTGAAGGAAGTACCTCAAACTTGCATATGTAAATATGTAATATATATACCCCAATCTTTATATAAAAAATTATGTTAGCACCATGATCAAATGTTATTTTCACAAATGTAATTTTATGGTTTTAAGTACATAATTTAAAATACACAAAGCACATGGAAGGATACAGTTAAACTTTTTAATTAAAGTTTGTGGTATATATTGCATTGCGGATATTTATCTCACGCCCCTTCAAAGTTTGGAGTATTTATATTATTTTCCTCTATATTTAATATCCTATTAACAAAAAGTTTGAAATTTTCATATTTTGAAAATGTAAATGATACGAATTTAACAATATTAATCAAAAATAAAATTTCTAAAACATTTATAAATAAAATGTAGTCAATGTAGATCATGTGAATAGTGTAACTTTTAACCTGTTGCAATTATTTAAGAATAGAGGTAGTATAAAACTAAGGAAAATAAAATACTTGCATGAATTAGATGAACGGATACTAACCTTTTCCCTGAGGGACTTTCAAAAACTCCATGTGATAACTTATTATCATTATCTAATGGAAATAGAATGTGAAAACAATCAGTAGTAGAAGAAACCATGATATATTACTATGGCGGCTAGAATTATCAGAAAATGAGGAAATAAGGAAAAAAATGGTATTGAATACCAGTTGTATATCTTGCTTCTAACGTTCGGGAGAGATTTTCCAGGCTAATGTATGTAAAATAACTGCCAAAGATAATGCACGTTCAATAAATTAAACTTGTCAAGCAGAACATAGACTAAATTTCAAAGTGTGCATTATGCACAAAAAAATGATGTTAATAGGAAAAAAGCAAGGTTAGAATATTGTTCATTATCACTCTTGTATGTTTATATTCCATCAAGAGTATGGATACATAAAAATGAAACCGGTACTAAAAGGTGGGATCAATACCGAATATCAATGTAGTTGAAATACTTCTCCGCAATTACATGCAGCAACATATCATCTACCCCTAATGAGGAGGTGTGAACCTGCAAAGTATAATACAACAATTATTGAAGGTTGCTAAAATAATAAGACACACATATTACATATACTATATCAAAACAACATCAACACTTACAATACTGTGAATGATGCGGTGGTATATAGAAGAGTGAAACTTCCCAGAGTTTCCAACCTTCACAAACTCCATTAACGCATCCAATACAACTTCCTAAATTATTAAGAACAAAGTTAACACCTCGTCAGCAATTCATCTACTTATTCAGTAACTTTCCCAATGACGTCTCACGTCTACTAAGGAAGCAATACTAAGTCAAAAAACGAGAATCAACACACAAAATCAGTACAATATTCCCACCCTTAGAGCTTGTTCGGACTCTGAAGAGATGGCGATGTCAATGAGAGACTGAACGAGGTCATCGAACTTGGAGCGCAGCCAAACGCGATAGATAAATTCCGGTTCTCGGGGGTCTGCAGATGCAGTAGATGAAGGAAGTTCGGGAATGAGAGGCGTGAAGAATGCTTGGAGGGAAAGCAGCGCTTCGAGGGCGTGCTGGGGAGGAGAGGAGGGGTTGATGAAGGTGAGGAGGATAGGAAGGTTGTTGATGTGTTCCCTGGAAGACAAAAGGTTGTGCCCTAGGGTTTTCAGCTTCTTCAATGTATACTTCGGAGCAGCCATTGATGTGTTTTCTTTCTCCTTTTTGGAATCCATGGCTGATGAACTGAGTAAAAAGCTTTGAGCGGGGGTGATACGATAATAATAGGGGTTCGGACGATTTTGGGGATGAATGATATTGGAAAAGGAAATACTACGTTATTTTATTTTCGGCCCATCTCTTTTGGGTCTATTGTATGGATTCCCTTCTTTTAACCGGATGTTTTGCTCATTTTTTGGGCCAAGAATTTTGTTGTGTTCCTCCCGATTGTAAACTGTGTTCGTTTTTGGTTGTGCGCAGTTAAGAATATTTTCTTTTGAACTGAAATTTATTGGTCTGAGCTGGTCTAGTCTGAACTAGTCTTGTCTAATAAATGTATGGTCTCTGAGTATTTTACAACTGTCTAAGTGTAATCTGATCTGTTTAAGTCTGGTCTGGTTTGATCTGTTTAAGCATGATTTGGGTTGAGACTGAAAACATTCCAAAAGAAAACATTTTTAATTTTTAGAGGATTGAATTTGGTCATTTGGTCGTGTGACATATTTTGTGTGTTTCTATTATGGAGAAGATGAGTAATGCATATGAGAGAGTGTATTGATGATGAAGTTAGTGGGCTTTTATTTTTGTCCCGAAATAAGCCACTCGAGGTAGAGGAGTGTCGGGTAACACTTACTCATTTTATCAATAATAAATTAAAGGATACAAAAGATAGAGTAAAAGTATACAGGGAAAATATAGCTTACAATGAAAATAAAGAAAATTAATAGTTGAAATTTTCAATTGGAATTCCAATAGTAGATGCAATATCCATGCTATATCTATTGTAAAATCTAATCGCCAATTTAAGATATGGTTGGTAGGTTTTGGCCTCCTGGCAGGATAATTTGTAGAGCTTGAGGGCTGACGCCAATTTTTGTGTGGTGACTAAAGTCGCTGATCTACCGGTTAAAGGAAATAAGCCCACTACCGCTTAGTGGGCTTATTTTTATATGAAAGTCTATGGACGTTGGGTTTTAGACATAAGTTAACTTGTTTTGTCTGTGAAATTTTCCACAGACAAAACAAGCCAGCTTTTGTCTGTGGACTGCGCTTCACAGACAAAAAATAACTCTCACAGACACATGCGTGTACTAATGAGTATAAAAACGTGTACACCAAGAATTCTTCTTTCCTTATTGGCAAATGGTGGAAGCGGTCTTTGTTTTCTTCCAGAATTTATTTTTAATATTTTTATGGACAAAGTAGTCAAATGTGGGAAGGCCCGGCTTGGCATGCAAAATCGGGCTTAACTCCATGTCCACACCCGCCCGTAAGAGCAAGTCGGGTAGTCCACCGGGCCGCGCGGCCCGAGGAAAATTTAATTTTTTCAATTTTTTTAATACTTTATAATTTATATTACAACATTGAAATATTGCTAATACGCTTTATAATGTTTATAGACTTTTCATCACATCCACAAAAAATACACATAAATAATAATGAGACACTGTATCTTAAATTTAAAATTCAAACACAAAGTATTATCATTAAATACAAAAATAAATATTAATTTGTTGGGCTAGTTGTTAAGAGCTAAAAAGTTAAATTTAAACATAATAAAATATAAATATGTATAAAGACAAAAAGTAAATATAAATATACATGTGTACATGTAAATAATTAAATAAATTAGTATATATATATATATATATGCACACACTAAATATAGCGGGACGGGATTATCAACCTGAACAAGCCAACACCCTAAGCCAAGCCTGCCAATATATTATTGCGAGCCAGGCCTGGCGCGGTGGATAAAAATATATGCCCAAGCCCGCCCATTTGTGCGGGTGGGCCGGGCGTGCGGGCCCGTTTTTGTGCAGGTCTAGTCTAGTGGTAGGAACAATCTAATTGAAGAATCTACAATTTTGTGGGGTTAGCAACACTCCCCAACATTAATAACAATAATGAGGTTGCAACGATAACGTCATCAACAACACCGACAGCAGCAAATCAGATGAAACTCTCATATTTTCCTAAGTTTGTCTCTTTTGCGTGTAGAAATTGAAAGTAAAAAATAATTGTGTACACTTTTCATTTAATTACATCTTACAAAGATATTTACATATTGATACAGTATATGAATTCAGACTCATGGGAGCATGGGACTATTAGGCTTTTCATGTAATTGAGCTTGGTATGCATTTAGTAACTCAACCCACATTTTCAGTATAAAAACTCCCTTTTGGAATTCATTTCAAAGGATATATGAATAATATGATGATTCATTATATACACAACTCATATATGGGATGCAATACTCCATATTGTATTCCATCTTAATTCACACATATTTTACTAACCCATCTTCCCTAGCCGTATTATTTGAAATTTGGAGATAATCAAAGACCCAAAGTTATTTTATAAAATTTTATCCATCCATAACCTGAAAGATGAAACAACTATCAATGACAAATCTAAAAATAAAATGTGTCGATATAGGACCGGAAGGATTGAAAACTATCAATCCAAGACCTAATATATTATAGATAAAATTCATAAGGAACTTACCTTTTAGGTCTCGCATTGATAAAATTCCTTATTTTATCTACACATTCAAATTTTGGCACTGTTAGCAGCTACAAATACCCCTAATCTTAGATGCCCATCGATTTAGGAGAGAATGCTCACTGGACACTGGGAGCACAGAGCACTCAGTCTATACATTTTGCACGTAAATACATGTATGTCTGTTTTTACATACATACATCAATATGCTTTAAACAATGTTACTGGTATGACGCATATCATATAAAGCAAAACTAAACTACCGAGTAAGAGTATCTTTCTTTCTCGACTAAATAATCATGTATTGGATTAATGTAAATAATCACAGACATGATAAACAAGATTATGTTATTTAGCTGCTATCCACACTGGAAAAATTATCATAAGAAATCTCTAGAATTTTGATAGAGCTGCAAAAACAACTTTTTCATATTTACCAAGAGGCTAGAGTGCTAGACACCTCCTATAGACCCATACCTTCAATAATCCAGATTCTTATAGCAGAGAGTTACAAAAGGGGGATAGCCAAAGATTTATCGCGGCAGTTCACACATTTGACATGCGGTAGCACCACGCTCCTTGTTGACAAAAGTGCATTTATCACATTCCCAGTTGCCTGAAGCATCCTCAGCACACATAGTGCAAACACTAGCAGAATTTGGATTGACAAAGGTGCACAAATCACATGCCCAACTTCCCAAATCACCATTCTCATGATCTGCAATAACTGATACATCTTTCGAGGAAGAAGATGTTCTCTGTCTTTTTTTAACTGCTGCAATGCTGCCAGATGATGAAGCAGTGATACTTCTAGTGCTTGAAGAGGGATTGCCAGACTTAGTCGATGGTGCATTTTCCAAACTTGCCACATTGCTGCTTTCTGTTCCAAGTCCATTATTCTTCAAGACTTTGCCTGTTGTGATGCTTTCAGAGCTTTCTTTGGATCTCTTATCAACTCCAGCCCCGCCATTGTTGCTGCTTCTCCTACCTCTTGGTGCATTCACAGGGTGTTTTTGCCAGTTGGCAGGCCCCCCATTCACTATACCTTGTAGGTTCCCAGAAGCAACGGGAGCATTTACCACACCTGGCGGAGGACCAATTGTGTTTGATTGGAGTGGATATACACTTACTGTTGGGTTTCTCATTACTAGCGGTGGTTCAACTCCTCCTACACCTCTTGGTGCATTAACAGGGTGTTTTTGCCGGTCGGCAGGTCCCCCATTCACTATCCCTTGTAAGTTCCCACGACCAATGGGAGCATTTACCCCAGCTGGTAGAGGACCAATTGTGTTTGGTTGGATTGGATATACATTTACCGTTGGGTTTCTCATTAGTAGCCGCGGTTGTACTCCTCCTACAACACCATTTGTAGTGGCGGCAAGTGGTAGTCCAGGCCCCACGACTGTTGGACCTGGTATTGTGTATCCCAAATTCAATCTCTGTGCCGCTTCTACCCCTATTCTGTTATTGACACCTGCAGCTACCACTCCTTCATTCAAGTTGGGGATTGCGAGTCTTGCCGCAATAGCTCTTCGTCTTTCCTTTGTAAGAGCCGCCGTTGTATTTTGCACAGCATTGATGTTGTTGGCAGATGTGTCTCTTTGTCCTGTTGTTTTGACATTTCTTTGGTTTGGAGGTTTAATGCCTTTGCCATGTCCAACTGGTATGTTTTTCCATCCAGCTGCACGCCTGTTACGGCCAGAGACTGTTGGATGCTCTGAAGAGCTGCTAGTACTTTTACTAGAAGCCCCATTTTTAGAGTTGCTACAATGATTGGATTGTGAATCTACATCTTCTAGACCATTCTCTAATGCACGGAGCAAATTCTCAAAGTAATTCTTTGTCACGCAAGTTAAACCAGTGAGTTTTATACGAAAATCGCTGAAATGTGGAGAATTGCTTTCCTCTGGGTTGAGGTAGATCTCGAGATCCTTCTCGGCACATTGATGAAGCCTCTCCAATCCCTCTTCGGCTTGCCCCTGTAAGTACTCAAAAAATTGTCTTTTTGTCTGTTCCTCCTCTGGCAAGTAAAATCCATAAGTATAAGTCCACTTCAACACCCTCCTGCATTCAATTATCTGCTTCCAAGCATCAAGTATGAACTTTAATTGTGTCTCTGGCAGAGACTGATATTCACAAAGCTTCACCACTTTGTCCTGTTCCATTTCCTGCAAGTCAGCCACAGCTTTCTTCTTTGATTTCTCATTAGCAGCCCACCTCTCGTAGTAATGTGTGTACCTCTCGATGGACACCTTAGCCATTTCCTTCTGTTTTTCAGCTTCACTCCCTGGCTTGTATCGGTTACACGGGCTGTACCCGTGAACAGACCAGTCATTCAAGCATAGCCAGCAGAACTGAAACATACAAGGGGCCTTACAAGTCATCCTCATACACCCTTCTCCCTTCTCAATTGGGCGTTTGCACTTAGGGCATGGCTTGGTGTATGCCAGAATCCAATTGGTGTTCTCTGATTCTGCGTTGTTCTTCAGAATCCATTTACCTACGGTTTCACAATCCACAGGCCTGTGTGCTTCTTCCGTGCAATTCCAGCAAAAAAAGTTGCCGCAATGGCAGATGACGTCAGGACTCTCGCCCCCTATTTCAAAGCGGATCGCAAATTCGCAGCCTGGGGCTGTGCACCACTTTATTTTCGGATTCTCTTCTATGTAGGACCGGAAGAGAAAGCTGAAGTATTTCGTTTTGTCCTCTTCTGTAGCCAACAGCTCGATTGCATCGAGATTGACGGCGTTTTTACAAGACGGCTCGGGGCACCGCAGGTTCAAGCAACCCGGCCCGTCTGCGACGGCCGTTCCTATATAACTACGCCAACAATCGAAGCAGAAAGGGTGGCTACAAGAAGACGCATAAATGTTACCTGGGGGGAGATCGTCGAAGCAAATTCCGCAGGTGATTTCAATTTCTCCAGAACCAGAAGAATCGGAGCCTTCATGGGGTCGAGACGATACCATACCCAGCTCCTTCTGCACCTTCTCCTGGTCCGCGAACCACTCCTCGTGAACTCTGTTGACGCTCCAGTTATATCGGCGGAGCAGAGCTGAAGCCTCGGCCTTGGACACCGAGAGGACGGCGATGACTTGGGCGATATCGTCCTCCATGAGGCGGCCGATGTCGTCTCCGGTCAAGATTGTGAAATTCACCTCAGAATCACGATCATCATCGCCAACGAAATCAGCATCGCCGTCGCTCCACGATCCGTCGCATACATCGCCGTCTCCACCGCCGCAGTAATCATCATCCGGCGAGTCCGCGTCGTATAAGTCATCGTCAGAGTGCACCATAGTGTAGGAGTGGATTGACTGTGCGGTGGGGTTAGAATGACAAGAGAAGTCTAAATTGATCAAAACCCTACCCGAAGAGTTGTTGGGTTGGAGTGAAATCTAATCTCTGTGTAACACTTGTATAAGCCATATGCGAGGAATCAAGAACGAATTTGACGAAGACTCGGGATCAGGTTTCGTATGGCTCACAATTCACAAATAACAAAAGTGAATATACAAATCTCTAACTTTCTCAGTCAATAAAAAAAATTGCACAATAAAAAGTAGGAAAAGTTCAAACTAGAACTCCAATGTTCCCCCAAAATTGGAGTAATTACTGTCAAGTTTAAAAAATGTTGTCATGTTTGAAGTCTGTTATTGCTAAAACATAACAATAATTAGTCCTATTTTGGGATTAAAAACATGTCAGTACTATTTTTGAATTGGAAAAATTGAAAATAATAATCCCAACTATTGCAGGTCCGCTGATAATAATCTCAACTATTGATTATTTTTGTACAATCCCAACTATATGGACCGTCCGCCAATAATGGTCCATGACCAGATATTACCTTCTACAACAAGTAAATTTTAAATAGGAATTCAGTGTAAAAATTAAAAGTTGGGATTATTTATAGGGATTATTTGCTATATCTCTTCTCATCCACTTTAAAAACTACAAGACTTTATTTGTAGGGACCATTATTGGCGAAATGTCACTAAAGTTGGGATTATTCTGATATAATCGATAGTTGGGATTATACTGAGCGGACCACCAATAGTAGAGATTATTACTATCATTTTTTCCTTTGGAATTTTGAAACTTTTTTACTCTTATTTCGAGTAATATTGTCCTGAATAGGAGTAAATCAAGTTTGAAATTCTAAAATAGGACAACTATGTTTTTCTTCCCGAAATAGGAGTTGTTACTGTCATGTATGAAAAATATTGTCATGATTGAAAAATACTATCATTAATTATAATAAATATTGTCATGTTAAATGCATTGTACTGCAACTATTTGACAGTTGCGCTTCCAAGATGACAGTAATACTGTCATGTTAGTCCCATTTTGAGAATAAAAACATAAAAGTCATAGTTTGGAATTTCAAAGAGAATATTACGTGAAATAGGACTTAGGGTCTGTTTGCAACAACTTCTGCTTTTAAAAAAATGCTTTTTTTAATGAAATGGGAAGACGTGATTAAATAAAAGTTGATAGTGTTTGAGAAAAAAGTGATTTTGAAAAGTAAAAGTGGGTAGTGTTTGGTAAAATAAGTACTTTTTTGTAATAGAAAAAGTAAAAGCACTTTTGACGCGGAAGCTGAGAAAAATAAAAGTTATAGTGTTTGGGAAAATAAGTGCTTTTTTAAAGCCAAAAGCTGAGAAGTGCTTTTTTAAAAGCAGTTGCAAAGAGACTCTAAAAAAATTTGAAAATTCCAAAACAGGATTACCATGTTTTTTATTTTCAAAATACGACTACTTACTCCTATGTTTTGGCAGTACCAGTCGTCAAACATGGCAGTTTTTTTTTTAAAAAATTGGCAGTAATTACTCCTATTTTGGGAATAAAAACATGACAGTTCTATTTTGGAATTAACTTTTTAGTACTATTTCGGGAATTTTTTCAATTTCAAACTCCAATTATTCATATTATGAGAAATCTCCCATAAAAATATTACCCCCTCCGTCCCCCAATTAAGTTCTCACTTTCCTTTTTGGGCATTTCCTAAATTAAGTTCATACTTCAATACTTTCCTTATTTGACAAATTATCTACATCAAAACAGGGACAAACAGTGCAAAACAATACCCAAACAATGTTAAATTTATTTTCTTAATATGTGTGAAGTCAAACCAGAACATAATTGGGGGACGGAGGGAGTACTGCGTATAAGACTTCAAAACAAATCGGTTTTTTCCGGATTTCGCACTTGCGTCTTTTTTCTTGCATGGATCAGTCCTCCTTGGACCAACTTATTACTAGGGTTGGAGCATGAATCAGCAATCGCCCTTCTAAATTCCTCCATCCCCACTTCCAAATATCATCAGCCGTATAGAGCTTTCGGCGCTCCGGCTAAAGGTATTGCTTATGCCGTAAGGTCTTCTAATTTTTAATTTTATGTCTAACTTCAATTATTGATTTTATGATTTAATTTAGTTGATTACGTGTTTTCCTATTTGCAATATTTATGATTTAATTTAGCTTTTTTGAGTTTTTCAATTGCTACTTTATTTAACAGTTAGTCCGTTAGGGACTTAGGGCAGTAGGTAGTATGACCAAGGACAGATCCAGGATTTCGCGTCAAGGGCGACGAAATTTTTTTCGTTAGTGTAGGACGAAATTTTTTCGCTACTATAGCAGGGCAATTTTTTTTCTGCTAATGTAGCGGGGCAAATTATTTTCGCTAGTGTAGCAATACTAAATTTTTTCGCAACTGTAGGGCTCTGCGGCCAATTTTTATTCAAAAAAATTCAATAGTATGTACACAATAACATTTAAATCTATTACATTCTAAGTTTAGACAATGGAAAATTAACTTTAATTTTGTAGCCGTAAATGCTCTAAAAAAAGTATTTATGCATTAAAGCATAAGAAATTGCAAACCAAAGGAAATTTATTTGAAAATAAAAAAAGATATATAACATTTTGTTGAATTATTTGAAGATAAAATTTTAACAGGTGCACATAAATCAATGCCTTTTAAATGACTTATGACTTTTTAACCACATGAATCTTATCTGAATAAAGAATTGATTTTTGAATAGTAGTTTTAGTCTACCAATGAGGTTGTTCATGGGTCAAGAAGAGTTTTCTTAATATTACAATAGTATGTATGAGATTATTATTTTTAGAGTAATATTATACATAGTATTGTCAATTCATGTATATGGTCCATATTATATTTGTATTAATGCTAAAATACGTTAAAGTTTATTATTTATGCAATAAATTGCTTTTCAAAAGTAAGTTGTAAATGAATTGTATAATTTAATGTCAACAAACATTTATATTTTGGATTCACTTCACATGATCTAAAACTTTTTAACTAGTGTGTCTAGTATTTAATATCGTTTCATCTTTTACAAAATTTAGTACTAATTATCTAATAAAGATAATTAAATATTACAAAGCTGGGAATTTTTATAAAATAGGTATCCTAAGTCTTAAACTATCTAAATTATTTTATGATTTTACTTCTTTTAAATCTCCTATTAAGTATTACACTATGTAAGCTAAAACTATATATTAACTTTGAAAACTAAAAGTTAAGGGGGGCGGAAACGTATATATCAAATTAAATTATGAAAATTTTATAAAAATAATACATATATATATAGTAGAAAATTTTAAAAGTCCAAGGGGGGCGGTCCCCCCCCCAATCCGTCCCTGAGTATGGCCTACACTATTTGTATGATAATCATTTTATTATAATAAATCAAATAATAATAATAGTAATAACTCAATTTATTCATTGAAACCTACTGTATATTGGTATATTTGTATTATTGAATATTGAAAGTTAGAAAAACTTTATGTACTTGGAAATTGTATGAAATTGTAGGTTTGTGATGATAGGAAAACGAAAACATGACTCGGAATGTTCAAAAATAAAGAACAAAATCATAAAACCTTCTCCCTCAAATATCATTGAGAATGAGGCTACTCTTGATTGTAGTGATGTTCTTAGGAATTTTCTCTTCAAAAAGCTAGAAGAATAGGGTAGTAGTTTATATCCATATATCTTTGATCAATTTTGAATCTTTTGCTTTCGAAGAATATTATCTTTACTTTTATAGTATATGATGCATTTCATATAGGGACCCTTTCATATACTCCCTCTGTTCTTTATTATCTGTCTCTGATTCCATTTTCATTAGTTTTTTTTATTAAATGTTCTTCTTTTTATTTTAGGAAAGTTTTTGATAAAATACCCCCGATTTTATTACTTTTACCCCACTTACTATTTAAAAACTACTTTCTCTTTCCTACTTTATCATCATTTTACTCTACTTAATATACTTTCTTTACTACTTTATCACCACTTTATTCTTTTTAATATACTCTCTTTCCTACTTTATCATTTACCCTACACACTCTATACTTACGCTACTATTTTTCTCTTAAAACATGTCCCAAGGCTAGAGGGACAAATATTAAAGAACGGATGGAGTATAATTCACTTCTATTTACTTTGATATTCAATTTTTTATATTGTTACATTGAATAAATTATATTACAACAAAATGTCTCTATGAGCGTGTAGGCCTCAAAGTTCCTCTAAATGGCAATTTCCCTTTATTCTAACATGGGAAAGTTCCCAAAATAGGACTAAAACAGTTTGAAAATTCCAAAATAGGACTACCATGTTTTTTATTCCAAAAATAGGAGTAATTACTGCCAAGTTTGGAAAATACTGCCATGTTTGAAGTCTGGTACTGCCAAAACATGACAGCAATTAGTCCTATTTTGGGAATAAAAACATGTCAGTCCTATTTTGGAATTTTGGAATCTTTTTAGTCCTATTTCGGGTAATATCCCGTTTTAACATTGATGATACAAATGCTTAGTAAAAAAGGCCGACAATTTAAAAAGTTATTGGAAAAGTAAATATTTAAATGTTTAATACTACTTGGTCCGATTGGTGTCTCAAAACAGAGGGAAGCAAACTTGAAATTGAAAGTTCCAAGAAAAAAATGATATCTCTGAGACAAGCTTTGGGGAAGTGGAAGCCTTTTTCGGCCGCTGTTAGGTCTACTCTGCACCCTTCGCCGAAGCAGGATCAAAAAGAATGGGCCTGATGCTTATAAGTATGAGCACATGAATGTACCTGATATGGTCCAAGTTTACAAAGACTCAGGGCCGATATTCGAGATCTTCCTATACGATTTATCTAAGCTCCCAAAGCTTGCTGCTGGAGACCTTCTTCACCGGCATGATCTTCTCAACAAGATTGAAGAGGAGATCATACTTGGTGGCATTGTTCCGACGATGATTCCTGGGTATAAGGAACGCTATCACAGTGGCGATGCTAAGCAATTGAAGAGCCTTCTCAATGATATAAAAAAGATCAACCCCAAGAACAAGAAATTTCCAAAGAAGAAACGGATCTTGATCTCGCCGCACTTCCCATTTGAAAAAGAGGTTGATTGTGCCAAGCTTCCTCCTTACGACTATGCTCCCGAATGTCGAGA